TTTATATGGACCATACTAAGCGCCCCAGCTGATATTGACATTTTACTTTGCTGGATATTGCATATTATCGGATAGACTAAAAGCCCTAAGTCAATGTTATTGCCTGACTATCACGATTTCAGCTGCAAGACGTAGTTATAAAATATTGTCAGGACTTGTCGACACAAGCTGTTTTCCCCAAGCTTTAGTGTGCACTCACTTTCCCTCTGCAGTTATTTACACTGACATTCTCTCCCTTGGTGCCCAGTGGCTCTCTCCTTTCACTCTCCATCCCAAGCAGATCTGCACATTCACACCCAGCTTCTCTCCACTCTGCTCCTTTCCACACACATGTTCTTCTCAACACACTCAGCCAAAGACATCCTTGCACCTATGGACCTTCTGCATCCCAGGACACCTTCCTTCCTCAGACCCCCAGTGTAAAAATATTTCTGTGCTCACTGAGCCTGAAACGTCCCCTCCATCCCAGGTTCCCCCAGGGATATGCTGGAGAAGATTTGCAGCCATGCCACACAGGGCAGGATGCAGACCTATGTATGAGTGAGGAGGCTCTGGACACTTGGCTGCACCTGCCCAGGGATGTTTGGCTCACACAGCTCTTCATCAGTGGCCAGAGAGTGGATTTCCCTACTGCCCACCTGGACACTGCACAGACATCCTGGGCGCAGTCCAGAGAGTAGACGACAGCTGCTGCTTAAGGGGACAAGTGTTCCCGACCCAGGAGGGAGGAGGCTTGGCTAAGGGAAGCTGCCTGTTTTTCCTAGCTCGGGGTTGGGGGAACATGGAGCTGAATGTGCACCTATTCAGAAGGGCAAAGAGCCAAAAATAACTAGGAGCAACAGCATTTCATCTGACAGGCCCAGAAATAGAGCTCATTTCAGAGCTACAGACCGAGCGATTCCAAGACCTTCACCATCCCCATAGAAATACACCTTCAAATTCCCACAGAAGAATTCTGAGGTGACACACGAACTACCATCCCCTCTTCACTACGGCTTCCCAGAGTGAGGGCTCTGGGGCCCATAGGAAGAGAGTCTGCAGAGTCAAAGACCTGAGGCTCGAAAGACAAGGTCTGGGGACCAAGACACGAGGATGCTATCTGGTGGAATGTTCTAAGGAAGGAAGAAGTAGGAAGTAATTGATCAATACGGAGATTGCAAAACAGGAAGCGCAGAGATAGAAAAGGGATGTAGGGAAGGTAAAGAATAGGTGTTATGAGAAAAACAGAAGTACTGAACATTAAGAACAGTGTGCATTGGATTTCCCCGGCAGTCCAGTGGTTAAGACTCCACCTTCCAATGCAGGGGGCGCGGGTTCAACCCCTGGTCGAGGAATTAAGATCCCACGTGTCTTGCGGTGTGGCCAAACAACAACAACAACAAAAAACCCCAAAACGGTGTGCAGGATTTAGCTGAATCTTGAAGGTCACCCTTGGCAGAAAAAAAAAGCCATGGTCTTCCAATCAGAATGGGAGTATGTTGCCTTCTATTTTTGTTTTCTTCTCTTCTATTTTGATGTAAAAGGCAAATGTCACAGTTCAGTCTATATTCTGAGTATCAGAATTGCAGCAAGGAAGTTGGGGACGGAAGAGAGGAGAGGCTGCAGGATTCCAGAGACCCCTGATTGTGGGGAAAAACTGTGTTCTGTTGGAAGAAGATGGGGGAAGAGTAATGAATACGAAAGGAAAAGGAGGAAGGAAGATAACAAGGGACAGGAAAGGGAGGATGGAAGAAAAATTGAAAGAGGAGGATGAGGGGTTCAATTTTATTTAGCGAATTTGTCTAGGAACTTTCTATACAAGGCATGAAGGCATTACACAGAGCTGATTAAGAAACAACCCCTAAAAGTTTGCAAGGAGCTTATAGTCTATCCGAGGAGGAAAACTGGCCAGCAAACCAGCTACAAAATCAATAAAGCAGGATTAAATGGCTACAGGCAGTGCTTGGTGGGACAGAGAGAAACGACCAGTTGAGTTTTTCTTTTTCATATGTATATAGTTTTATTTAGTGGCTTTTTAAAATTGGAGTATAGTTGATTTACAGTATTGTGTTCGTTTCAGGTATACAGCAAAGTGATTCAGTTATATATATATATATTTTTTTTTTTTCAGATTATTTTTCATTAAAGATTATGACAAGATATTGAAGTTTGTAATTGAGGTCACGAGGGGAGCTCCCTGCAGCTGGGGGCCCTAGGTTTGTGCAGGGCCTCCTGCAGGGCCTCTCCGCCACCTCTGTAACCCTAGGTGAGCTCTCTCTGTAAGAGCAGATCTCTTGACCCTACACATCCTTAATATTTAGAAATGTGGTTGCCAAGCACCCAGCAAAGGGCAGCCCTGATCTGAAGGTAAGCTGCTACTCGTCCACAGCAAAATAAGACCAAGACAAGTTAGGAGTTTTTCACAAGCAAATGATATTCAATTTAAAGCTGTCTTTTATTATGATGTTAGGTCTTTCCTAACTTTTTTGCTGGTAAAAATGCCCTGTCTTTTTAATGAAATAATGTTGACAGAAGATTGTGTATCGGGGGGTTGTTTTTCGTTGGTTGGTTTGGCTTCAATATTTTTACTTGGCAAGTTAATAGTTGGCCAACTGCATTGGTCCCTGAGATTTTTCTGATCTCCAACCATTTCAGAGTCTGAGATCTACTGGCTTCGGATGTTATTCAGTGCCCAGCCAGGCAAGCAGACTCTCCCCAGCCCCTTTCCCTCCAGGTCCCTGGATGCTCATCCACGGAGCTTGGATAAGCGAGGCTGCCATCCTCCTTCCAGACTCCGTTGCCTTTGTCCTTTCCCGTGTTCAGATGTGGCGTCATTTACCTTTCACTGTCTCTTTAGAGGGCACGTGATGAACTGACTTATAATTCAGCAGTAATGAGCAATACCAGATTAATATACTCTCCCCAGGGGCCTTCACATTCCAGTAAAGTATTAAAACTTAATTCAAACCAATGAATTGTAATAGTGGAATTTTAAGCCCTTCCACAGGACAATGGAAAAGGGGGCTGTTTTGAAATAAAGGTCCTCTGAAATCAGACCACACCCTTCAAATTACCGACACAAACATCTAGAGAGAAGGCAAGGGCAATAACGGATTCTGTCTTCTGGATAAAAATTTCACACTCCACTGTGAGTAGAAATTCTGACCTTCTCTTCCTTTACCCCTCTGCAATGCAGAATTAGTCAATCCCATCCCCCCCGCCCTGGGCCACAGAGCAAGGTGAAATCACTTTTAAAGGATGGAATTGTGTTTTGGTGAGTTTTCTGCATGACTGATGCTCCTCAGGATTCCCAGGGCCTGAGGTGGTGCCAGACGCACAGTAGGAACACAGTAGGAGATGAATAGGTGAGACATTGGCTATGCCGGGTTAAAAAGAGCCCAGGCCCCTAGTGGGTGCCTCCACATTGACTATAGTTAGGTAAATTCAAACCCTTAAAGCTCACAGGCTTGAAAACTCCAATTCCATAAATCCTGAACACCAACAACCTGAGGGACTCAGTTCTCTGAAGACCAGCCCAAACCGGGTGCAGTGAAGGAGGAGAGAAAATCCAGAGGAAGGCCCAGGAAGACAGGTGGAAACCCCAGAAACACTGTGAAGTCCTGTTCTCTTGAACTGGAACAGTTTTCCTTTCACACACATTAAAAAGTATAGTCTACCATACTGATAGAAAAAATATGGACATGATCTAGGACAAAGCCACCAAATCTTTTATCCTCTTGGACACTCCGTAGAATAAATGGAATGATTTTCTACATCACATGGGAGAATTTTAAGAGCTTTGGACCTGTGGAAGTGGGACAAGGCATTGTCAAAGAAACCCTCAAATTCTTTAATGTGGTGGCCTGTGGATGAGAGAGGAGCAGAGTGACCCTTTCTTATCAGCCGGTGGTTCTGGAAATGGGGTCTCTGGATTGGCAGCAGCATCACCTCCCAGCTTGTTAGCAAGGCAGCTTCTCAAGCCCCACCCAGGACCAACTGAAGCTGCAATTCTAGCCCAGCAATGTGTGTTTTAACAAGCCCTCCTGGTGATTGGGATGCACTCTGAAGTTTGAGAACAGTTGACATAAGTCATGACTTTGCAGTAAGTGACTTGGAGCCAGGAGCCTGACCCAGGGCCACAGTCCTTAGGTGACCTAGAAAAAGTAAGGGATGACTCAGCTGAGGTGCTGAGTGTGGCCAGGGCTGTACTGAGATGGCTGAGGGCATATCCAGGCACAGGCGATTCCAAAGCTGTTCTAACCCCACCCTGGGCATCCTATCTTCACCACCAGCGTCTCCTGACGCCTGTCGGGACTTGACCTGCTATGGTGGCACCTCCACTGGGAAGGGGCTGTATCCTCTCAGACTCCCAATCTTTTATTAGTTCCAATCCGCACAAATCCACCATTGCCAAAGGGAAGCTTCTGAGAACTTTCGAAGGTGGGTTAACTGTTTCAGAGCAGCCGTGGGCTCAAGCAATTATCTGAGTCGCTAGACACAGCCACTCTCTTTCTAGAGCGCCAGGGCTGGCGCGAGCTGGGGATCCCTCTGTCCAGCCGGGCCCCTCGTCCTGGAGGCAGAATCTGGGTCGCAGAGCAGCCAGTCCCAACCTGTGTCCCCAAGGCCGAGGATGTGCCTGAATTTTTTTTTTTTTAAAGCTGTTTGTGCACTTCAAGAGCCTCACCCCTTTCACTTGGGGCTTGAGCACAACTGAATTGGCCTAATTAATTCATTTTCTTTTCGGTCCAAAGTGGAAGCCGGGTCACAGGGATGCAAATCAAATACAAACGCGATTTGGGCGCCGGTACTCTGGACAATTAAAACAAAGAGCTCGGCGGCAGTGGCGCCGGCCCGGCACAAAACCCTCGGGAAGCATCCAGAACGTGCCGCGAACCAGCCGGCAGGGTGCCCGCAGGGAGGAGGCCCCGCGCCTGCAGGTGGACAGGTGGAGGTTGGTAGGGGTCAAAATCCACCCTTCAAGACTGGAAGCTGGGCCACTGCGTGGCGCGACTCCACGGGGGCACACTCGCACTGCGCCCGACGGGAATGGCGCCCTCGCCAAAAAAGCAACCAAACAAAAACCCATTGCACGGGCAGGAACTAGGCTGCAGGACCCGCCAAAGGAGTGGGTGGGAGAGAGAGGATGCGCAAGAGAGGAATAGGATGAGAAGAGGAGGGAGTGGAGAGAGGAAACGGATTGCGAGAGAAGAAAGCAAGTGAAAAAAGGAAAAAGGGGGGGTTAGGAAGAGAGGTGAGAGTGAGAGAATTGTGGAGAAGGAAAAAAGGGAAGCGGAGGGCGGGGAGAGGGATCGCGGAGAGAAAGAGCGCGGAAGGCGGGTGGGGAAGGAGGAGGAAAGGAAAGAAAGGGAAAGGGGGTCCGGCCGGGAGCGGGGGGGCGGCGGCCAGGGGGCGGGGCCCGGGTCAGTCCCCTCCTGCATGGGCGCCTGCTGCCCGCCGGGCTGGAAGCCTGGGGGCCGGAGGGAGCGGCCGGGAGGCGGGCTCGGCCGGGAGCGGAGGGGAGGGAGGGGACGGGGGCTGGAAGGCTGGGA